AGAGCATTACAGCAGAGAATGCAAAAGATATTTACGAAGCTTCAGTGAAACTAGACAACTTGTCCAGCCAGCGAAGACTTACACAGTTCCTATATAAAGCATGATGAATTAATATTGGAAAAATATTGGAAAAATCTGCATTCAAGTCATTTTAATAAATAACGAAGGGGGGGCAGAATCAAAGCAGACCCCTGATTATTTTTATTTTGTGTATGCACAGGTTTTACATGGGTTACAATAGTGCTACATTCTTCTTCAAATGACACACGAACCTAAAAAAACGAGGAGTCTGGTGGCACCTTAAAGACTAACAGATTTATTTGGGCATAAGCTTTCTTTCGTGGGAAAGCTTATGCCCAAATAAATCTGTTAGTCTTTAAGGTGCCACCAGACTCCTCGTTGTTTTTGCGGATATAGACTAACAGTATGCATCAGAGGGGAAAGACAACATGAAACTCATTTGCCCTTCTGAGGCAATGACACTTTCATTAGCTTCAATAAATCAAACCATCCAGCTAAAAATGTTAAGTCTGACTTTGTCATAAATTTCTTACATCTTATAATTTACGCTGCATAGAAATGTGAATAGACAAAACTACATGAAAGAATTAATGGAAGATATTGGCATAATGTGACTGAAAACTATGCAGTATTTGCATCTTTCCTAACTTTAGCCACACTTCCAATAAATACATTAGTTTAAACTGTCATTCTAGTTGTGTATTAGTAAGCTTTTATATTCTGCTGGCAAAGTGGATTTGCAGCCAACAAGCCATCAACCTATTTCAGTTTTTTTAGCTTACATTCTTGTTAGATGATTTCCGCTATATCAGCGTCTACTCTCCTATATTATCTTAAACGGTTCTTGTTCGTTGTTGTCATACAGAGCAAAACAACAATATTTTCAGTGCCAAAGTCAGCTCTCCAAAGTAACTACTGAAATTCCAGTGGAAAAATGTAAAACTCTGTATAGTACAAGCCGGTATGCTGAAACCTACCTCTCCCTATATTATACATATAAAAATAAAATACATTCCATGTGAAAGCTTTAATAAGTTCCCTTTCAAAAAACAAACTTGCTATGTAAAAATCTATTGATCTCTTGATTTTCACAACTGACATTCAGTTTTAGCTAATTTGCCAATCTACAAAAGTTTATAAAGGTTTTTATCAATTTCCTATATAAAACTGTATTGTACACGTAACAAAAGGAAATATATTACTATTACACCAAAATTTAAAAAAAAAAAAAAACAAAACAAAACATCCTCATACGTACCTGTAACCATTTTTGTAACAAAACTCTATACAATGTTAATACGTAAACAGTGTTTTTTGTCTTCTACAGAAAGTATAGCGTTATATCTGACATTTTAAAATCATCATCAGGCTGACAGATCTTGCCAATTATAACTTTTTCAAAAATTAAAACTACATAGAAATAGCCTCAAGAATTGATCTGACTTATTATAAGTTGCAAAATAAGTTGTATTTAAACAAGGCAAAAGCTCCTTATAAGGTGACATTTTGGGAAACTCTTGTGTGTAAATATTATCCCTTTGATCATACTAAGCTCCTTCTCCCAACACTACTCCACCGAACAAAAAAATATTTACTGTATTGTAACATGAGAGACAGAATATAACCCATGTTCACACCCTACACAGTATTGTAACAATCTTTGTACAAAGTATACCTTGTAAGGTATCTTGTGAAAACTCAATTTGCTGGTCAGTACTGTTCTAATGTAAAATACGTACAGCAACATTGTATGTGAAGTTATAAGATTCCCTGTATGATGTTATTAACACACGTTTCAAACCCCACAGTTCTGTTCAGGCAGAAGTCAGGTCTATCCTAAAAAAAGGAAGGAATGTGTGCTTGACTTAATTTGATTACCCTGTATACTGCTTAAATGCAAACAGGAAGTTCAAAACACTTGGAAAAAGCCAGCAGGGAACATCCTTCCACATAGACTCTTTGTCTCTTGGGTCTCAGATGGAAATGTTTTTCAAGAGGGAGTCAAAACATAAAAAGGAGGGATAAACATCCCAAAGCAGCCTCTCTCTGCCCCTACCCATTGCATTCACTGCACCTGAAGAGACAAAGAAAGCAACCTTTGGACTCCAGGGGAGCGATCTTGACCTAAAGAGTTTGTTCAGTGAGACTGCTGAAAGCATGTGGTGAGAAAACTTTGCTTTGAATCTAACATAGCTTGTTAAGTTAGGCATCTGTAAGCATTTTGTCTTTATTTTTTCTTGTAACCATGTCGGACTTCTATGCCTAATTACATGCACTCACAATATCTCTCTTTAAATCTTGCTTTAGTTAATAAACTTGTTTATTGTTTTATCTAATCCAGTGTGTTCAAGCTGAAGTATCCAGGTAACTCCATTTGGGGTAACAAGTTGTGTGCATAATTAGTCCCTGAAAGGAATAAAGGACTCAGTAGATTTGTACCGTCTCGGAGAGGGCTGGGCAATAAAGGACATACATTTCTGGGGGGAAATCTGGGATTGGGGTGCTAGGGTCACCCTGTAGAATAATCCAGGCTGGTAAAAAACGAAGGTGTGCCTGGTTGGCTGTGTGCTGGGAGTGACTTACATGCTGGAGGCTGTTTGTAAGCAGTCCAGACTCAAAGCTACAGCAGCAAAGCATTTTAAATGGCACTCCAGGTTAGAGGGCAGGGGTGACACAGCTACTCATTAGTATGGACTGTACTCTGGTATGTCACACTGCAAAAACCAGCCACAACAATTTAAACCACAAACCAACCGGTAACTTTGCAAGTGATCCCTTAGTTAACAAAAGGTCCGAATTTAATGTCTGGTCACTGAACATTTGTTACAACCAATCTGTGGTAGAGAAATGTGGCTTTATCAGCAGTGCACAAAATGAACAGATCCTGGCTCAGGAAACTAGTTGCTCAGGAATTCTTTGTGAAAGCATGCAAACAGAATTGCACAGCCTCCCCCAAAACATGGAATGTCCCTTAAGCCAGCTAATGGTCAGTTGTGTACTGTGGGAACCCATTTTGCCTTTAGTTTGTGATATTTCTCACTTTCCCATGCCCCATTTTCACAAATAAATGACTATTATTAACCAACAACGGTTATAGACCAACCCCAGAAACAAATCCTCAACCACTACACGACCCCTGAATAAATAGGCTTTGCACAGGGATTCTCCCTGGGGACCAAGGTTCATGGAACCATCTCTTCAGGTTGGGGGAGGATGGGGGAGAGAACTGGAATCACAGCATGGCCATTGCTGCAGCATCTTTCCCAGCTTTTGTACTCTCAGTTCATTAGGATGCAACTGGCCATGCTCAAGTAACCCCTGGCTACTTCCTCATTCCTCTTCTAGCCCACCCTGCACTATCTCTAGCCCTCCCCCGCCTTCATTCTGCAATGGAGTAACCACTAAAATCCTTGGGTACAGCAGAGTCTCCCTGTGTGTGCCCTCCTCATCCTGCCCTTCCTCCACACAGCAGAACCACACCACCACTGTTTGGAAAAGCTGGGCAGGATCTTGCTTATTGATCAGGGGACACAGGTGAACAAGGACAAACACGGGGATGGATTTTAAGCGGCAGGCCACTTTATTAAAACTTCACATCCAAGAAGGGCACTATCTATCCATCTACCCATGCCAGGCATTAGGTGCATCCAGTGCAGGGTTCACAGGGCATTTATCATATAGCCCATACTCGGGGTACCCTCCCTAGTGCCGATGCAAATGTTTCATCTTCCTCTGCTGAATCCTCTCCTTTTCCTCCTCCAAAGGGGAATGAAGATACCAAAGAGGGTTCCTACTCTCCAGATCTCCATTTTTCCATAGACCTGGGGTCCACCAGAGAAATCACATGTCTCTTATTTTCTGGTTGCTGGCTCTTTGGCCTATTATCTGCACTGGACACCAGCCTCAAGTGGCTAAAAATGGTGAAAGAGGTCTGAGAAACCCCAGGCCGGGTTTAATTAAGTGACTGTAGAAAGCAAGAGCCAATCAACTTGCATCTGTCTGGCCAACGAACAAAGGGGTACTCAGTGGGAGGAGGGGTCTATTCCTGTATAAATTCCCCTTTATCCTAAGCTATCCAGCACCTTGGGGTTCCAATCAAGTTTCTCATCCACTAGATCAGTGGGTGTCAGTGCACTCAAAATGAACTAGGATAGTGTAATGATGTATTTCCTCCTTATTTCAGAGAATAGCAACAGGAAATAAAACCACAACAACAATAAAAAGAGGGATTTCTTCTTCAATTTATATAACATACAGGCTGAGTTTCATATCCTTTCTTAAGCAACTTCCTGCTCTTGTGATTCCAGTGAGATGCTGGAAGATAAAAAATGGTATCCGTTTTTCAAGTCAGCATTAGGGCAAGAGAAATTGCATGCAACAAGTATAGATAGGTACTTCAGTCTCTCTTCAAGATAAGCAAGTCATGTTTTCTAGAGAAGCTAAAAAAGAAACATGGATCACACAAAAGGAAATACAGTTGGAAACAATGGGAAAGCTATTGCATCTACCAACTCACATTCCTGCTAGTATATGAGGGAAATTGTCTTTCACACTTAGTTTGCTTTGCTTTGCAAGGGGCTCTTTTTGTTTTTTACTGATTTTGTGTGACTGAAAGCAGAAGTTGAATATTTGGTCAGACAACAGTTTTCGGCACAATATACTGTATATTACAGAGTGTGTGAGAGAGAGAGAGCTCGCGCACGCACACTAGCTTACTTCTCCTATTCACTTCCATGAAAAAAATGTATTCAAACACTTTTAAAAAATAAATCAATTATGGTATTTAATCAAATAACTGAATCTGGCTATAATTACAAACCACAATAAATATTCTGTGCTGAATACATCCAGCTTCATAATGTGAAAAATATTTATTATGGATGCTGAAAGGCCAAGTTCCTCCAGTTTGTTCAGTATACATCTTTTTCATTACCCAGACAGGACAATCAAAATGAAAATATATTTTCATAAAATCTTACCTCAGCCTCTCCTCTTCTTTCTTGCGAAGGCTGAAATCTCGTTGGACCACCTGAAGAACATGCTCTGCTTCATCATCTGTCAAACCAGATAGATCCAGTTTCCTCCCCATTATTTGATCTATCCTGGATATAAACAATAAAAAAGTACCTGAAATCATAAAAGGCAACAAAGTACCAAGCGAACAACTTGAAAGCATTGTGTGGACTTCAATGAATTCATAAAATAAAGGACTATTGTGGCCATAACATCAGAGGACAAGAGAATCTCTTTGTATTTTATTCTTTTTTAAAACCTCTAACCTGCACAAACATTTAGGGGGATTGTGCACCACAGTTAATTTCATTCATTCCATCCTGATTTCAAATAGGACCTCAAAAGTTATTTTCAAAAATGGGCAAATATTATTTCTATCACTTGGTAAGTGGCAACATTGCTACTCTACCTACAAGTAATATGTTACGGTGACCAAAAAGAAATTTAGAAATTCCAAGAGTTCAAAATCAAATCAACTACATGTAGACTTTGGAAACCAATAAAATACAATTTTATTTCCAAGAAAAGCATCAGATTATTTTAACAATTTCCACTGAGATCCCAATGAAGGAGTGAGATTCATGCTTCTGGAATGCCTTGCCCTATTGGACTAAATACCTCAAGTTACCAGTTTGGTCTTAATCCACCTAGAAATGTTTTTTTCAAAAAACTGCCATTCAATAATGTTCCTAACAGAAATCTGACCGACCCTGAACAATTCTGCATCAAAAATACGTGGAAAAAAGGAAAACACTCAGAGTGGAAGATTCACCACAAACCAATGCACTAAATAATTACTAATTTCACTTTAGCCTTGAAGATTGGAAAACAAAGTTGAAGTGTTGAACAAGTAAATCATCAGTATATTTATAGAAACAGAAGAACTGAGACAAAGAGCATCGGACTTACAGGATAATGCCAGACAAGTTAATGAGATCCATTAAGAGCTAAAACTACAGTGTAAAGCCCAACAAAATAATTGGAAGACTTAGAAAAGCATAGGAGTTGAGAAAACATCGAAATAATGGGATTGAGAGAACATAAAACAGGAAAATTCAATAAAATATTTGAGGCCTGGATATGAGAATTTCTGCAAATGGATAGCAACAAAAAAAATCATTAAATTTGAAACAGAAGTACAAAACAGATTCAAATTAAAAATAGGAAGTGTAAAAAACAGATTTGCTGGCAAACAAAGAGCAATAAGGCTGTAAGACCACAACTCCTCTGATCATCAGCACAAAATTTTGGACATGTCTCACGCCAAAACAAAAACTCAAAGGAGGAAAGAAGAGGATCTCATTCATCTAGGATTATGCCATCAATATACATAACAGGAGAGGAGAATTTAAAAATAAAAATTGCATAAACAGCTCCACAATATACAAAATTTGCTCTCCAGTCTAGTCATCCCAAAAATCACCTATGAAAAGAACAAACTCCTCCTCATCACCAGCAGATGTTCAGTTTTCTCTACATGGAATCAAAAATGACCTCAAAACCTGATGAAATAGTTTTACAGCTAAGAAAATATATTGAAATGTATTTACCTAAGGGACTAAATTAGTGTAGAGCTCATTGTCTAAGCACTTTGATTATCCCTATCATGATATTGTCAGTATCCCCCAAGAAGTTATGTAACAGACAGTGGGTGATGGGACAAAAAGGAAATGGTCAAGCATTCTAAAAGCCCTAAACATGAAACAGAGAAGGGGCTGTGAAAAAGGCAATTCCGAGAGCCTGCACCTACCTGTTTGGGAAATGATGGCCCAACAGTCTATGTGTTTTCATTTTTGTTTGTTTTGTTTAATAAATTGGTAAGTTCAACTATCAACACTGGCTCCTGTGAAAATTTTACCAGTAAGGGAACCCAGAAACCATGCATGCTATTCATAGTTTTAATGGAAGCCACAGTATCCAATCATTGAAGATCCATTTTGCATTCTTAATGATTTCATATTAAAATTTACAAAGAACTCTTTGAAATTCTTATGTCTAAAATTTTCAGCAGCTTTGTATCTATTACAAGTTTAAAACCATCTCTTCTAAGAATGTGTATAGCCCAAAGATATATCTGAGCAATACTCTGAACAAATAAAATTATGGCGTGGAATTAAGTGACCTTTGTGTTAGAGCAAGCGGTGAAAATGTGAAACGTGCTACATTTCATCCTGAAATAATTTTCCAAAATAAGATGGCCCGTTTGTTGCCAATACTCAATTGAAAATGCATTTGTTTACACTGTATTTTATCTTCTCCAATTCTTTAGTTTTCAGTTCTTTGAAAGGGAACTTCATATACCTGGAAAGAGAATATCATTTATCTTTTTCTACTTGTTAGGCTATTGCTGAAATTTAATATTCACTAACTAAAATCTCTTATTTTGCCACTCAGAATATAAATAGATGTAATTAATGGTATGCTAGATGAAATCAAAGACGTTGTTAATAGATGTCTGAAATTAGATTACAAATTCTTTGGGTGAGGAACTATTTCTTAATGTGTATCTGTTCCTTACTAGGCACAATGAGGCTGTGATCCTGATTTGGTCCTTGTGCGTTACCACAAAGCAAACCCAAACATTTATAAGTTTTAAACAAATGACAGGAAAATTCCTATCAAAAGGACGTTTTAAAAATAAAATTACTAACTTTAATAGGTAATAGAAAATTAGTGCCATGGAAACAAAGGACCGTATATCATCCCTTTTCCCCAACTCTTTCTTCATAGCAGGGGAGGGAATATGTTAAAATAGAGGCAAAATCTTACTAATATACATAGGCAAGAACAGAGACTAACAGTTTGCACCCCTCTACGCATACCAAAACCATTAACACCTGCTGGAAGTTTCAGCAGAAGCTGCAAGAGTTTGCCAGTGGAACGATGGATTATAGAGGGGCTTTTCCCCAGTGCAGCTCCATACCCTCTCCCAGCAGACAACCTTCCCTCTGTCCCAAACACACAACCTGCACAATGAGACACTGAGGCTTTTAGCCCTCTACACCTACCCTAGGAGAAGCGAGTGTCCTCAGCAAAACTTGCTGGCAGCAGTCTGAGGACAGTTCAGTGTAGCAGCATGGAGGGGTATGTCCTGTACGCTTTTTCTTTCTGATCTAAGGAGACCCAATGCAGCACTCATCTTAGGACTTTTTATAGTACCCAAAACAATTAAAAAATATGTAAAAAAAACACTTCAAGTGGAGGGCCTCATCTCTGCCCCTGCCAGACAGCAAGTTGAACCGGAACCAGAGAACCAGTTCAAACTGGGGAATTTTGTGGTTTGTTTGTTTTTAAAAACTTGAACCATAACCAAACCCAAACCATAGTTTTGTCCTACCTGCTGAACCAGAACTGAACTGAACAGGCCTGCCCCAGTATGAGATTAGGGTTGCCAGGTGTCCGGTTTTCAACCAGAATGTCTGGTAAAAAAGGACCCCACCGGTTCCGGTCAGCACCACTGACTGGGCTATTAAATGTTCGGTAGGCAGCGCAGCGGTGCTAAGGCAAGCTCCCTGCCTGCCATGGCTCTGCGCGGCTCCTGAAAGCAGTGGCATGACCCTTCTCCGGCTCCTAGACGTAGGGGCAGTCAAGGGACTCTGCACACTCCCCCACCCTGCCCCAAGCACAAGCCATACAGCTCCCATTGGCCAGAAACTGTGGCTGCTGCTGCTTCCGGGAGCTGCTTGAGGTAAGCTCCATCTGGAGCCTGCACCCCTGACCCCCTCTGCGCCCAAACACCCTGTCCCAGCCCTGATCTCCCTCCCGCACCCCAAACCCCATGCCCAGCCCCACCCAGAGCCTGTACCCCTGCCGGAGCCCTCACACACACCCTGTGCCCCAACCCCCTGCCCTAGCCCTGATCCCCCCTTCTGCACCCGAAACTCCTCAGGCCCAGCCTCACCCCAGAGCCCACACCCCCCACTCCCCAGCCCAGATCCCCCTCCCACTCTCCAATCCCCTCAGTTCCCGCCCAGAGCACCCTCCTGCACCCCAAACCCTTCATTCCCAGCCCCACCCCAGAGCCCTCACCCCCCTACACCCTAACCCCATCCCAGCCGGGAACCCCCTCCCACATCCTGAACCCCTCATTTCTGGCCCACCACAGAACCTACACCCCCAGATGAGAACCCATACCCCCTCCCACACCCCAACCCCCTGCCTCAGCGCGGAGCCCCCTCCCATATGCCGAATCCCTCGGATCCACCCCCCAGCCCAGAGCCCCCACACACACCCCAAACCCTTCATCCCGGCCCCACCCCCTCCTGCACCCCAACCCCCTGAGCCAGCCCTGTGAAAATGTGTGAGCGAGTGACGGTGGGGACAACAAGCCACAGAGGAGGGGAATGGAGTAAGCGGGGGGCAAGGCCTCGGATAAGGAGTGAGGCAAGGGGCAGGGCAAGGGCGTTCGGTTTTATGCAAGTAGAAACTTGGCAACCCTAAATGAGATGAGAATAAGACTAGAAGAAGATCAGCCTACAAGAGTAGGGAGGAAGAAGAGAAGCACAGGAGCTGCCTGTATACCACATGAGGCAGCAACGGGGCCAGCGACAGATGAACCATCTCTGAGAGCAGAGCTGGAATGCTCCCTGGTCCCAGAAGTTAACTATTCGCCCCCACCCTCCCAAAAAAAGTAATGGCTCCCCAACCCTTCTCCCCCTTAGACAGGCCTCCTCCGCCCCCATGCCCAAACCCTGGGGAAGCTCCTCCCTCCAATTGCCCCATTTGAGGCAGGGCCCATGCCGCAAACTTATTTCCCCACTGAAGTAGGCCACAGGCTTCACTCCCAACCCCCCACCCTCTAGGGCAATACCTGATACCCATCTCCAACCACCCCACCCCATCCCCGAGCAATTCTCTCTCTTCACCTACTGCAGCTGGTTATGACAGGCTCTGATTAGAGGAGTGAGAACAAGCTCTGCAAAAGTTTGCATGTTAAATGAACTCGCATGGATCGGTGATGACTCAAGATCACCCCTCTCTGAATTGCTTCTCGGCTAAAACACAACCATACTTTATTAGATTCTGGAAATATGCAACTGGGCTGTGCTAATGTCTTTGGTTTATTTATAGTAATTATATTTCTATTGTA